GCCCCAGTCCGCCAAGGGCGAGCCGAGCCGGAGCAGCTAGGCGGCTACGCTCTGCGCCGCGACGACCGGGCCTCGGGGTCTCTCTCCTGCCCGCCGTCTCGGCTGATGCTGAGGGTCGGCGGCCATCCCGCGCCGAGGGGACCCGGCTGGGCCGCGGAGCCGGGCCGGGGGCCGCAGTCCGAGCCCAAGCCGGCGCTCGCGACGCTCATCTGAAGTTAAGGTAAGCACGGCCACAACCGGCCACTCTCAGCGCTGAATGGCGGAGTTTATGTCTCGGTGATTTATGGCTGCAGACTTAAATCTCGGTTCAAGAAGAGTTCACAAGCCGGAGCTTCCTTCCCGGCAGTGACTGATACCCTTACACTTCGAGTTCAGGCTGCTTTCCCATCCCCGCCCCCACCTCTTCCCTCTCCCCTAGCCCAGCCTCAACTTTTCTGGGGTGGGGAGGTAGGGAAAGGTGGGCCAGGGGACGCAGGGGCTCTTATCCCACGTTCCTTCCCGGATTCAGGGTGAGGGCGGGCTGAGGACGGGGAGGGAATGGAAAGAGGGAGTCTTGTCTGAAGGAAGGAGGTTGAATTTGGGCAGATCTTGGGGAGAGACAATAGCGCTTGCTTCCATCGCTCAATTACCTTCATCAACTCCCTTTTGGTTCTAGTATTTGGAGGTTATTGTCCAGAAAGAGATCTCTGTGGAGAAATCTGCGCCACCCCCCACACACACACACACCTTGCTTGTGGGGAATAAAGCAAAGTTTCCTGGCTGGCAGATCTTCAACTTCTTCACTAGTTACAAAGTTTGGGGGTGGGTTAGAGAAGGTTGTGTGTGCCCCAAGGTGGTTGGTTGTCTGCTGACCTCAAACAATAGGAAGGACTTTGGAGGGATCTCAAAGGTGAATTCATATTTTAAGTTTATGGGAGCTGTTGTATACTCTTTGTTTTTTAAACATATTTTTGTTATTTTACAAAACAATGCACAACTTGAAAAGACTTAAGTAAGCAGCAGGCCAGTGTTAATAATGGATTAGCAAGTCACTTGAAATATTGTATGTTCAAGAGCAACTTAATTTTGTTTTATCTAATATCTTGCTGTTCAAATGTCTGGAGTAATTTTCTTAACCTGACGTTTTATTTTACACAAGCCTGGTATCTGAAAAATTTATAATGGCAGACATTAACACTGCCAAATGTAATAGGGACTGTTTTCAATGAAAGAACAGGAAATTGAGACATTAAATTGCTATTCTGTTTTTAAATTTTATTTTATCCTTTATTTGCTTACAGTCATGGTATCTGTAGCTCTCTATTTCCAAAAGAGAAACAGTATTCCAAGACTCAGTACCATGCACAAGAACTCTGGATAAGGGATGCTGTAAATTTTAATTGAGGTTCTGGAAAATTAATTATGCTTGTTTTCTAGATGTTGGTCAGATTGGTGGTGTAAAGGATTTCATTATTAAAAGGAAAATTACAATCACCCATTGGTAGTTGTTACATTATGTATTTTTCTAGTTAACAAAGTATCTGCTGTTTCCTGGAAAATCTGAATAACTCCAGGATTCAAATACATACAGTTGGGGCATGAAACGTAAATTATTTTCTTCTTGAACCTGTCGCTATAATTGTTTTAAATGACTAGAGGGACTAACATTTTGAAATAAGGAGGGTATGCGTGTGCGAGAATGTGTGGAACCCACAGGGAACTTTTCTGAACTGAGAACCAGACGTTATCCACTCAAAGATTGAAAATAAAAAGAAAATAGATTTCACTTCTGCAAACTGATTTCTAAATACAAGAGGACTGAGAAGGCTTCCATTTGCTTTTTAGATTTTTAAAGGGTTATCCTTTACTTGCTGTTTCTGACGGAGGTAAATAGGCCAAGTTAACAAATACAACAACAGCAGCACACAAAGATCAGGGAACTCTGGCAGGGTTTTATGGCTTGTGCTTCCATCCCTCGTCCAGAGCCAAATGACCCCCATACATCAAATTACATAGCAGTTTCTAAGACAGAACCTATTATCGTTAAGTTGGAAGGAGAGTTCAAGCCGTGGTCATGGAGATGAACGCTGGTTTTTCAGGTTCCTGGTGGTTTTTTTTTTTCTTCTCTAATCCATCATGTTTTAACAGGTAGAATTTGATAGTTGCCCTGAATAACAGCACCTCAGAAAGTCCAAGGCAGGAGGGACCTCTGTAACTAGAGAAAAGAGGTGGTGGTTGCTTCCTGGAATGTGCCTGAGAAATAGTGAGCAAAATGAGTGAAGAACTGTCCTCAGTTGGAGTTGTGATTGCTGGAGGTGTGTGTGTGGTGTTGTTGACACCTCCCCTCCCATATTCCATCCAGAGTTTTCTCTCTCCCCTACTTGGCCACAAGGGGCTTGTTTGGAGGAGGTGGTCCTTATCTTCTCACAGGGGTAGATTACTTGTCTAACAAGCTGGGCTTCTGAACTCCAGCAGGGCAACTGGCCAAAAAGGTTGCGTGCAAACCTCTCCTGGGGACAGGAAGGTCCAAGAAGAGTCTGAGTGAGAAGTCATCCAGCCTCAAGACTCTTTTGGCAAGAGAAGGCCTGAAGTGGGGATTAGAGAAAACCACTGGCAAGCTAGGCACCCTTTTTCTCCTTGTGGGGCCTTCTCTCAAGATCCCCAGAGGGGAGAGTCGCGGAACCACTGAATGAAGCTAAGGAGCGGAAACGAAGGTACACCGCAAGTTCCTCCTCCCCCGGAAAAGAAGGATCCCAACCCCATTCCTTTCCAGCCTGTTGGACCTTTCTTCGTTTGGACCCGGGATCCCGAAGTCCAGTTTTCAGCCCTCACTCTCCTCTTTGCCCGGAAAACCCCCCAATTCCAGACGCAAGTTAAGCAAATATTTGTAGCCAGTAAATTCCAGCGGCTTTTTATAGCGCGGCTCCCTACGCCTGGGGCCAAGTCGTGCTGCTAAATATTGCTGACCACTTTTTCTTTTATGGCTTTCATGTCACTTAGCTATTGAGAGTAAGATGGATTTGCGCCGAGCCCTCACCGCCCTGCGCTTCTCGCCCCCCAGGTCTGCGCGGGGCGGCCATTGGCGGCGGAGCGTCACGTGACCGCGGGGGCGTGCCAATGTGCGCCCTCACGGGTGTCAAGCCCCTGTCAGAGTGTGCGATCAGGAACGTGAAACAACGCGATGCAAAAAGCGACCTACTACGACAGCTCGGCGATCTACGGTGGCTACCCCTACCAGGCAGCCAACGGGTTCGCCTATAATGCCAGCCAGCAGCCGTACCCGGCGTCCGCATCTCTGGGCGCAGACGGCGAGTACCACCGACCCGCCTGCTCACTCCAGTCGCCCACCAGTGCCGGGGGCCACCCTAAGGCGCACGAGCTGAGCGAAGCCTGTCTGCGCACCCTGAGCGGTCCGCCCAGCCAGCCTCCAGGCCTGGGCGAACCGCCCTTGCCACCGCCTCCGCCCCAGGCCGCGCCCCCTGCCCCGCAGCCACCGCAGCCCCCGCCGCAGCCTCCTGCGCCAGTCCCTGCCGCGCCCCCGCCCCCCTCTTCGGTCTCCCCACCTCAGAATGGCAGCAGCAACCCTGCTCCAGCCAGCGCGGCCAAGAGCCCCCTGCTCAACTCGCCCACCATGGCCAAACAAATCTTTCCCTGGATGAAAGAGTCTCGGCAAAACACAAAGCAGAAAACCAGCGGCTCCAGCTCAGGTAAAGAAAGGCATGCCTTCTGCCTGGTTCCTAGCTTCCCAAGCCACCTCCAACCACAACCAGCATGGTCTGGGAGCAGTGGAGGTTTCTGGGAATTCACTGCCCTCCCCAAAAAGTTTTCCAGAGTCATTACAACTAGGGAGGTGCCATGCCCTGGACCAGAAAACCCCAGAGAGGGACCTGATGGGGTCTCACTGGACCTCTTCAAGCACAAGTGGAGCCTAGTGAGGCTGAGACTCCTTGTTTCACTCTTGGAGTTAGACCTCTAGGCAGAGCCAACCTGAGCTCCACTCTCTATTTTTTAGCACAGCTCCTCCATTTCAATGAGACAGTGACACCCTCTCCAAACTGCAATGTGGCATAATAAAAGAAGTAGTACTTGCTCTCTGAGTCAGAAGCAATGTTTTGCCTATAAGCAGAGCCTATTTTTGCTCCAGCAGATGGAGTGGCTGCCTTGCCTCTGATTAGGCCCTGCTCAGACTTAGTAGAATGAAGGCAGCCTGGGATCTCCTGGGGGAGGGGATGTAGTCTTGTCATCCTAATGGGAACCACATGGGCCTCCTGAATCCAGACTCCAGTGGAGGAAAAGCTCTGCCTCAGGCTTCCCAGCATCTTGGTTACCTTTCCCCTTGCCTTCTCCAGTTGCCAGTATTCTGCTCTGACCCTGAGCACCTGGACCCTCCAGAGCCAGGATTAGGGGGACCAAGGAGGACAGAATGGTACGAGGTTAGATTAGGCTGTCCATGACATCAGAACCTTAATAGGCCAGGTGTCAGAGGCCTGGACCTCCATACCAGAGGTAGATTTCATCAATGGGATGTCTCTTTGGGCAGAGACCTTCCAGGCTGAGATTTCTACTGCCTGTCTCCCCTGGGGAGATATAAATAAGTGGCTAGTTGGGACAACTGTCTAATCATTTAGCCAGACAGTAATTAAGAAAAGAAGATTTATTGGCTGCATACTAGATGCCCCCCATTCTAGTAACAGTTACTGTGAAGGGAATGAAGATGGTGAGACTTGCCCACAGGGAACTTATAGTCAGGTAGACCCAAAGCCAAGCAGTAAATGAGGCAATAAGTGATAATTCCCAAGAAGGGAATATAGACCAGTTGGGTAACTTGGGTGTTCTGCTTTTTCCTGTCCCATTGCCCTTGGAGAAGCCGATGATTTGCTCTTTGAGTGAGAAGATAGATGTTTCCCCACTGAGAGAGAGGACAGCACCTTGTTCCTCTCCCTGACCTCCACCTCACTCTAGGCCTTGACTGATGGAGCGATCTGTGGGACCTGGAGGAAGGAGAGCCTCGGCTGGGTCAGGGGCTGGGCGGGGCTGCAGGCCTCTCCTGATGGCCATCTTCCTCTCTTCTGTGTCCTCCAGGAGAGAGCTGCGCTGGCGACAAGAGCCCTCCCGGCCAGGCGTCGTCCAAGCGGGCCCGCACAGCCTACACAAGCGCGCAGCTGGTGGAACTGGAGAAGGAGTTCCATTTCAACCGCTACCTGTGCCGGCCGCGCCGCGTGGAGATGGCCAACCTGCTGAACCTCACGGAGCGCCAGATCAAGATCTGGTTCCAGAACCGCCGCATGAAGTACAAGAAGGATCAGAAGGGCAAAGGCATGCTGACGTCGTCCGGGGGCCAGTCCCCTAGTCGCAGCCCCGTGCCCCCCGGCGCTGGTGGATATCTGAACTCTATGCATTCGCTGGTGAACAGCGTCCCATATGAGCCCCAGTCGCCCCCGCCCTTCTCCAAGCCTCCCCAGGGCGCCTACGGGCTGCCCCCCGCCTCCTACCCTGCGCCCTTGCCCAGCTGCGCACCCCCACCACCCCCACAGAAGCGCTACACAGCGGCAGGGGCGGGTGGCACCCCCGACTATGACCCTCACACGCATGGCCTGCAGGGCAACGGCAGCTATGGGACCCCACACTTACAGGGAAGCCCCGTCTTCGTGGGGGGCAGCTATGTGGAACCCATGAGCAACTCCGGGCCGGCCCTCTTTGGCCTGACTCACCTCCCTCATGCCGCCTCGGCTGCCATGGACTACGGGGGCGCTGGGCCGCTAGGCAGCGGCCACCACCACGGGCCAGGGCCAGGGGAGCCGCACCCCACCTACACGGACCTTACCGCCCACCATCCTTCTCAGGGAAGAATTCAGGAAGCGCCCAAGCTCACCCACCTGTGATGGTGGGCTAGGGGCTGCGCGCCAGGAGAGTCCCTCACCTTTCTTCTTCGTTGCTTTTTTTTTTTTTTTTTTAAAGTTCTTCCCGCCCTTCCCTTTTTCCTCTCCTCCGCCCTTCTTTCTACCCCCCTCCCGTTTTGTTTTCTTTGGTAACGCGTTTTTATAGTTTATGTGACGTAGCAATCTTGGTTGCTGGAATGGCTGTCAGTATCAGTAGCGATATTTATCTCCTCCCACCCCTCGCTCGACCGCTGGCCCTACACCCTTTACCTTCTCCATTCTTTGATCAGAAACAGGGTATATGAACAAATTTTCTAGTCGAGTTCTTCAATGTGAATTTGTTCGTACATTATGGCTCCCGAGGGGAAGCGATTACTTTTTTTTTTTTTTAGGTTTTTTTAATTGCACTTCTAAGAGCGAGAAAAAAAAAAAAATCAAAGGCGCTTTGAAACAGGGGCCCCCTGTGCAAGGATGACTAAGTGTCCGTCTTTCCGTGTGTGTATGCTGGTGAACAGTCAGATTTATTTATATATTTTTTTTGCAAGCATTGAATAATCTAAGTTTTAAATATTATTTATCCCCATCGTTTGTATTTATATTAAAGAAATTCTGTACCCTGATTGTTCAGAAGGTTTCTTGGGCCTTTTGGTCAATGGTGTATTGGCGTACATAGAAAATTTTTTTATTTGAAAGGGAAATATAGTTCCTTTATAAAAACGGTAATGATGCAATAAAACCCGAGAGGTTCCAGCTTTTGAAAACAGTGATTTAGGTTTGTAACATCCGGTGATACTTAAAAAACAATCTGTAAACGAGAAAAATGCTAGATTTGTTTTTGAGAGTTCTACATTCCTTGCTGCTCACATTCTGAGAAACAAAACAAAACAAAAAAAAAATAAAGTTTTTATTCTGAATAATTCCGTGTTCTGAAGGGGTTCTTCAGCGGAAGATGGGGCTCTGCGTGGAACTCGGGCGGAGGCGAGCAGGCCGCATCAGTCCTCCGCCGAGCTCGAGCGGCTCTGGCGTGGGGCCCGGCCAGGCTGCGTGCCTGGGGCATCGTGCATTCTCGGGAAAGGCGGCCCAAGCCCCTGGCGGCGGCAGCTCCACAAACGGCGCGCGGACAGCCCTGCTGGGCTGTCTGGTTCCCAGCTGCTGCCGAGGCCAGCCGAGGGCGAAAGGGCTGAGTAGCGCTGGGTGCGGGAGAAACAAAGGCAGCCGGCCTGTGGCGCGGCAGGGGCATGCACAGGTGCCGGCGTGGGCCTGCGGGGGGGAAGGCAGGTCGGTCCTTTCCTTCCCGAACTTCCTCAGGCCAAAGCTGACCTGCCTACGCCTTCATTTGGGGAATATCCAGCCGTAGGAGAGATGCCGAGTACTTTCAAAGAGCAATCGGACTCTTCAGGGTCCTCCCTAGCGGTCCATTATCACCCCAGGAGAAAAGAATCGCTCCATAAATCACCACTGGAAGCAAGGCAGTTTGGAAAGAACTGGGGCTAACCCAGGTCGCCAGCAAAAAGGGGGGCTAAGCTCGGCGGAGCCTCCCTAGCCTTTCCCTGGACTGCCAGAATCTATCGGCTTCCTCCCGGAATTTAGTATTTGGCTTCCACTGGATTTATTTATTCTCCTTCTCTCCCCGCTTTCCTTTTATGGTCCCAGAGGGAGTAGGAGAGAGAAAGGAGATTGGTATCTTTCTAATAAAAATGCAATTGTATAAGTACTTCTTTCATTTGATGCTACAGAAGCTAAATAGTACATTTCCACTCCTGGATTTAAGATAGGGCTGCCTGCAGACTGCCCAGCAGAAGCAAAGGCAGACACAGTAGAGGGAAATATTTTCACCTTCACATTAAGGAATCGCCCAGAAAAGACAGAGAATTCAGAAAATGCAAACCTCAGATCTGCATCCCCATTAGTACCCCTGTCAGAACTGGAAGTGAGGAGCCACCTGCATCTGGAAATCAGGAGCATCTGATGTGAGGAATACCCCCCCCCCCCGCCAGGATTGTATCTGTCAGAGACAGAGGTGAAAAATGTCGCCATTTTGTTTGCAATCCAAAATAGCCATCATCATGGCCTCTATCTTTCCCCTGAGAAGCTCCCTTAGATGATCCTTAGAAACAGGCACTGAACCACTTCTGGGGGTACCTGCTGGGCCTACAGCAGCTGCTTTTAGGGAACCTCCACGTGTTTTAGGAAAAAGAAAAAGGCTTGGAGGATGAAAAGCCAGGCAGCTGTAGAAAACACAGCTAGAGGTGCTTTCCCCATGTCTGCCTTGGGGATGGATATCTACGTATATAGATAGATAGATATACATTGAAAAAAAAAAAAAAAGAGTGTGTACTGTAGAAGAAATTAGTTTCCTCCCCCTACTCCCAACCTCCCTGCTGAAATATGGCGCACCTCAGAAAGGCTGAGGCTAGGAAACCAGTCTTTGTGAGAACTGGAGCTTCCACCTTTTTGGTAGTTCACGCGGAGCTGACATGGGAGTCTTCTTTTAAGTAATCATTTTAGAGAAGTGTATAAAAGTACCTGGGAAAGTAAGGACTAGTATCTCTGAACAGAAAGAGAGAATGAGATCAAAATCAATCCATCCAGGGAGGGAAATCTTTCAGGGATACCACTATCAGAACCATGTCTAAAACCCACCCTTTAAGTGAGGAAAGAATGATTTCCGGGGCTTCCTCCTCCCCTAAGGGTAAGATTTTGGAATGAGATTCTAATAAGATTTCCTATATCTTGCCAGTCAAGACATTCATTTTGGCTTTCAAAGGAAAAATATCGACTTTACTCCCAGCTTCCTAGATATTAAAAACAAATCCTTATTAAAATATCTCCTGAGTTAAAGTAATAGATTTTTGGGGGAGATTTCAGTGTTGAGTGGTCAGAGAAAAAGATTTTCTTCCAGATGGTATTTGAATTAAGGCCACTGAGTCGGGCAGAAAGCTCTCACCCACACAGCTCCTGACAAAGCCTCAGAGATGCGGGGGCAGCGTGGCTCCTTCTTTGCAGCGGTCCCTCCTTTAAACCCCTCAATACTTCGTGGTAAAAGCAAATGCCAAAAGCCGTCCCCCAGAGTCCGCAGAGCACCTTTCCTAAAAGCACCCCTCTACCCCTTTCCACTGCCAAAAATTATCTTTGAAAAGACTAGTTTTCCTTGTTTACTTGCGTTTCCTGCTTGCCTCTTTTCTCGGCCACATTTGATCTTGGAAAGAGCTCGAAGCTGAAATGTGTTCTTAAGGGCCAGAAGCTGTCAAGGCTTTTGGTGAGCAAGATTGATCGCGCCCAGACTTCCTTCAGAGCTTTGTTTGGAATAAAAGCAAGAAAACTGAAAAACCTCGCATTTTCCAAAATAGCATCTCTATCTGTAAGGCGTGCTCTGGGCCAGTAAATGGCGGAGACCACTTTATATCTAATTTATAACCCAAACCCTCTTTGATGCCTCAGAGATGGAGTTCTGCCCTTGCGCCCTGGTCGGCCTTTCTATGTAGATTTTTCTCCACCGCTAACCTCTCTTTCGTTGGCCATCAGAATGATTTATTTTCCTGCCACCGAAGCCTGCCTCCTGGCCTGGGGGAGTCTGATCACTTGGTCCATTTCAAAGGAAGCAAAAGAGAATCATCATCCTCAGGGGTTGGGGAAAAAGAGGTACCTCCAGATCTCTCTCAGCCTCCTCCCTTCTTTCGGTCTTGGTGGATTTTTTAAAAAGTTACTGTTTGGTACCTAAAGGTGTTCTCTCTTGAACCCTCCAGCACCGTCCAAGATGCGCTAAGTCTCAAGTCTCCAAACTGGAAAAAAAGAGAGAGTGAATGAAGAAAAGAACCACCATAATTCCTCCTTGGGTTGCCTGCCTTCTGTCCCCAGCGGTGCTGCATCCTGCAATACAAGCCGGGTGCAAACATCCCTCGGTGCCCAAGGAGCAGGAAGGTGCTGGAAGCAACCAGGCTGCCAGGGACCACTCGCTGAATCTCAATCTACCAGCCTCCAACCAGAGCGATAAGGACAAGGAGAAGGGAAAAGAAAGAGGAGCAAGCGCTTTCTCCCTCCCTGCTGCTAACTTCCACCAGACTTCCTGGAAATCGGAAATACTCACCGCACCCGAGCCCTACGGGGGTATGAAACCCAGAATGCCAGGAGCCGCTCACGCCTGCTCGGGTTGGCATTTCTTTGGCTGGCCGCCGCCCTGGCTACGGGGATTTGGACACATGGACCTGGGGCTGTTGTCTCTCTTGGCACATGCATCTATCTTTCTGGAGCCACTCCTGAGAAGTTGATGGCGCAGGAAGGTCGGGAAGCTTCGAGAATCGCCTCCCATTTTCCGCTTCCCGCCGGAGCCAGAAGCAAAGCTGTCGTTGGAGGAGCGGGCTAACAATGGGCCGGGGCCGGGGTCCAGGGGCGCAGACTCCGGGGCTGGGCATTGGGAGGGGGCGGTGGGCTTCGGGAAAGGGGGGGTGGGAGAAAGAGAGAAGGAGGGGGAGAAGGCGGAAAGAGGTAGAGAGGGAAAGACAAGACAGAGAGGGAGGAAAACAGAGAAGTCAGCGCGAGAGAGCAGTTGTGAACTGGTTTAGAAAAGAAGGCAAAGGAAAAGGGAGGATCCCCCCACAAAAAATCTTCTCTTTCTTCTTTCTCTGTTGGTCCTTCTTTCACTCTCTCTCCATCTCTCTCTCCCTCCTCCCTCTTTCTTCTTCTTCTCGCGTCTCCCCTCGTCCTCTGCTCCTTCCTCTAGCTTTAACAGAACTTATGTGACTGGGATGCGGGCCTTCAGGTGTCAAAACTTTGAAGATTAATGGATTACTTTGTTAATGACTGCAGGCGTCAGACTGAGGTGCTTAAATGATTTGTGAGGTGCGAAGCCTCTTCCCTTCAGTCCCAAACAATGCGCGGAGTGTGCGGGGGAGGCAGAGGGCAGCCGCCGGCGGGACCGGCAGCAGGACTCACACTCGCTCACACTCAGGCACTCACACAGACGCCCAGGCGGACACAGCAGATCCTTGCTGATCAAGAGGCGG